CACCTGGTAAGATTGTTCTGTCCTTCTGATGCACTGCGGAAAGAACCTTTTGAAGTTAAATGTCTGAATCCTTTAAAATGTCATTGGTTGTGGGTAGGTGGAGGAAGCCATCCTGATCCAGGTGGGAGTTCAAGTGCGCACAGACCAGGCTGTCCTGTGCCTTCCGCTTGGCCAGGCTGCAGGAACAAGCCCTGTGTGGTCCAGGCAGGTCAGCAAGACCCCGGAGCCCCAGCGAGGCTGCTTTCATAGGAACAGCCTGTTACTGACCTGCTTCTTCCCACGCAGCCCTATTCCTGCCCAACCCGTCCTCCACACCAGCTGAGGGCCAGCTGAGGCCTGTTTCCAGCTGTGCAGGCAGCCCTTACTTCAGCGGGGCCTGGAGGTGACATGCTCACACTGGCTCCGCTGTGCTCTCTGCAGCCCTCGGCCATCCTTCGCTCCTTTGGCCACGGCAGGGGAGGGGCTGTGTGCGCAGACAGGCCATGTTTGGACTGCTTGGGAGGCTGCTCCCCAGCACCTGTGACTTCCTTTTCTTCCTGCTGTTCACACCCCGCCTGGCAGCACCATATACGCCATGCTATGGGGGAGCATTGATTCAGGGGCCTGGGGAGGCTGCTCATGGGGGGCAGTGTGAACTCAGCTGGCAGGTGTTATCTGGGGTGGTAGGCCACCTGGAATTTTTAAACAGCTTGTGGTGGCTTGCCCAGGCTTAGGTTTCTCAAGGTCTGTCAGGCAGGACCTTTGGGAGGAGGCAGTGGCTGGGAGAGTGGGGGTAGGGAGGCAGGGGCGTGAGTCTGGGGGCAGCCTGGAGCTTGCCCAGGAAGATGGGTGTGCTGAGGGACAGACTCGCCCAGACTCCAGGGAGGTGATGCTGGCTGCCGAATTCTTAGGGCTGCCGGGAGGTGGAGGTGGTCTCAGCAGCCCACCGGAGGGGGGTGAGTAAGCGGAGCGTGTCTCCGAGGTCACGGGGAGGTATGGCGGTGTAGTGTTTTTGGAGGGCATTTGGTAATGTCTGTTAAAAATTTAAACATACATACCTTTGACCCAGAACTTTACAAAATACTCGTTCACGAGCAGTGAAGACGGAGGCACAACACATTCATTGACATCCTAGTGACTTGCCAGCACCCCAGGTGCCCGTCAGCACCAGGTCGCTGAGCTACAGAACTGCCCGCTGACCGGGGGAGACAGCGAGGTGCGGCCGTAACCGAGGGAGGCAAACACTGGACCGCGTGTGATTACGTTCCCAAATGCGTGCCATTGTCTGTGTGTGTTTGTGTGTTGCATGTTTCACAGTGATTGGAAACAGTACATCCCGTGTGTTAGCATGAGTGTGCGCTCTGGGGTGTGGAAGCAAAAGAACTTTGCTTTTCTAAGCCTCTGCTGGCTGCTGTGTTTTTTCATTTCTCCCTCAGACACCAGCATTTAAAAGAAAGACTGGGGGCCTGCAGGTGGCACGGTGGTTAAGGGTGCTAGACTCCCACATGCCCGACTGCAGTTCGAGGCCCGGACCTGGTGGCTTGCTTTCTCACTTTTTCTCTGGTCAAATTAAAATAAATAAAATAAAGTTCAATAAAAAATAATTTAAAGAGAAGAAGAAGAAAAAAATGTGTTGGGACCCTCCAATGGCTTAATGGTTATGTCGCTGGACTCCCACGTACTGGACTGCAGTTGAAGTTCCAGACCCAGCGGCTTAAACTCATGTTGTGCGTGTGTGCCCCAAATCCCAAACAGAGGATAAGGGAGATTGTTCTCTGTCTCGCTGTCTCTCCAGAGAGCACATGTGTCCTATAACAAAAATCTCTACAAAAAAAAAAGACCGACTGTGGGAAGATGAAAACACTTGAGTTAGCCTGGTAGGAGGGGAGGGATGAAGAGGACTGGCCCCAGGGCAAGGCAGCCGGGACAGAGTGGGGCTGGAGGCAGAGGGGATGGAGGTTCTGGGGAGGAGGCAGTGAGAGCCTGCTAGGTGTCAGGACGCGCTCCAGTGGGCCTGCAGGCCTCGAGTAAGCTGCGGCTGGTGGCCTCTGCTATAGCGCTGCATCCCAGAAAGAAGCAGAACCCAGAAAGTGGCCACGATTCTTAGGGGTGCCCACTAAGACCCTGCAGTGTGTGCCCATCAGCCTCATGACACATACGCCAACGTGCATGTCATCGGCTGGAAGGATGTGTCTGCCGAGTGTCACCACAGTGGTAGTGTCTTTGTCCACCTGAAAACATGGTAGGCGGGTCCAAAGGGCCCTCACTTTGTCCTAGTTTGTGCTTTCATCCTTCCTGACCTAGTCGCCTTGTTTCCCCCTTTCTAAAGTCGGATGATGACTAACGCTGAGCACAGAGGCAGGTCGTTCAGAGCATTCGTTCTGCTTTTGTTCACTCAGTATTTGGGTCTGACCCTGTTCCTCGGGCATGAGCATCTCACCATGGTCCTGGCTTAGCAGGTTCCCACTTGGTTGGAGCTGGTTCTGAATAGCGAGTTTTCCTCACCCCAGGAGTTCCTTGCTATTTACTTTCCCAGCCAGGGCAGCTGAGCCGCCCGCCAAGGGGAGCAGTTTGCAGAGGGCCTCCCAGTGCACGGGGGCCCGCCCAGCTCAGCCCACTGCAGGCAGCTTTTCATGCCATCCACCAACCATCTCCTCTCCTGGAAGTTCGCCGGTAAAGAATGGGCAGCTCTTGAGATGGGGTTTTCGGAAATGAGCATCTTCAGCGTGGCCCACTTCACTTTCAGTGACACTGCATTTTCTCTGAGGCCAGGTTACTTTTTTCTTTGAGAGGTTTTCGCTATAGGGCGCATGCGCTCGCCAGACAGACAGAGAGAGACAGACAGAAAGCGAGAAATCACCCACACACCAAGGGAGATGGCCACGCCGCAATCCCTTCTCCATTCTCCTCTCAGGACCCTGGGCACGCACACACACGCGTCCGGCGTGAGTTTTAAGCCACCGGGTCCGGGACGCAAACCGTGGTCGACTACGTGGGAGTCCAGCGACATAGCCATTACGCTAACTGCTGGTTCCCTGAGGCCAGCTTACTTTTGCTTTAAGGCCCTCATTGTCATAACTTCCTTCCACATTGTTACTATGAGGTTTTTTGTTTTGTTTTTAACTCGGTCTTTTCAGATTCATGTGATGTAAATCAGTTTTCTTAAAAACCGCATTTTAATTTCAGAGCTCCTTGGGACTTAAATTTGTAGTAGTGTGTTCACACGTATGCCATCCAAGTGTAATGATTTCAGTGGTCCAGATGGTTTCTGTCCAGTTCTGTGGGTCTGAGCTGAGCCTGACTTTTTCTTTTTTTTTTTTTTTTTTTTTTTGAGCTGAGACTTAAATAATTAAAATAACAAATGCCCCCTATTTGCTTCCTTCGGATGATTTGCAGCACGGTCCTCATGAATACCAGCCCCTCCCTCGGACTGAGATCAGGTGCTCCATTCATTGATCTCTGAATTGAGGGCATTAAACGCCTACAGGAAACATTTGGTTGGCTGAGATTTTCCTAGAATAAACGATCGATCGATTCTCCAAATCGGTAAATACCGAGCAGGCCCGGGGCGCCTAATGTGCAGGGCATGAGGTGTCACCGAGGGTCGCCAGGAAAGATGGCCTTCGATGCTGCCTGTGTAAGCAGGGACAGGATGAGTAATAAACACGAGTTAGCACCGTCCGGTGTGAGACTTCCCAACAGGATGCTGTGCATGCAGTGAGTGATCACTGACAGCCCTGCTTCCACATGGCCAGCCGAAGTGTTTTTTCTCAGTTCTGTGGGTTGGAGCGGATCCTGATTTTTTTTTTTTTTTTTTTTTTTTTTTTTGAGCTGAGACTTAAATAATTAAAATAACAAATGCCCCCTATTTGCTTCCTTCGGATGATTTGCAGCACGGTCCTCATGAATACCAGCCCCTCCCTCGGACTGAGATCAGGTGCTCCATTCATTGATCTCTGAATTGAGGGCATTAAACGCCTACAGGAAACATTTGGTTGGCTGAGATTTTCCTAGAATAAACGATCGATCGATTCTCCAAATCGGTAAATACCGAGCAGGCCCGGGGCGCCTAATGTGCAGGGCATGAGGTGTCACCGAGGGTCGCCAGGAAAGATGGCCTTCGATGCTGCCTGTGTAAGCAGGGACAGGATGAGTAATAAACACGAGTTAGCACCGTCCGGTGTGAGACTTCCCAACAGGATGCTGTGCATGCAGTGAGTGATCACTGACAGCCCTGCTTCCACACGGCTGGCCAGCCGAAGACCTAGAGGAGCAAATGGCCAGCCTTTTCTTTGTTCTTCGGGGAGGGTTTGCTTCGTTTGTGACTCAGCAGTGCTGGGGGAGGGGATCCCTGCAGGGCTGCTAACAGCTGTGAGACTGAGCTAGCCAGAGCTGGAGCTGGGCGAGCTGGGCCAGAAGGCTGAGCCTTCTCCTGGCTGTGGTGGGAAGAGGGCCTTACCTACCAAAGAGTTTTCGTAGCTGGTAACCGGATTAAAATTTATGAGCTACTCTGTGGAAATTAGTCTTCATGTTAACAGGGCCATGCAGCCATCAAAACCTCTGCTAAAATTAGTTCTTGCAAGCTGGTGGCGTCTCCTGGTTAGCCTGGAAATGACTCAAATTAGACAAAAAGTAGTGGTTCGGCCAGTGTTGTTTGGCATTTGTCACCAGGAATTGGAAATGGTCCTGGCCTCCACTGAGCATGCATTTATTAATAGGGCCTCGTTTGTAAGCATTCACCCGCCAGCGAGCACTTCCCTGTGTGTCTGCAGAGTCCTGCACACCATGCCAGGCCGGGGAGAGACCCGACTGAAGTTCAGTGTGTGAGTGCCTGCTGTTGCAGGATGCTGGGGAGGGGCCTTTGCAGCGCACGGCCTCTGTGGGGCGCACAGCCTAGCTGGGAGGTACAGTAGAAGGCATTCTGAGGGGTCCTGTAGAGAGGGCAGTCAGTGCTGGGTGCCCACTGGCTAAGCTGAAGGCTCCCTCTCCCTCTGCCTCTCCCTCTCCCTCTGCCTCTGCAGCATGGACAAAGACAGCCCGGAAGTCCACCAGGACCTGAGCGCCCTCAAGACCAAGTTCCAGGAGATGCGCAAGCTCATCAGCACCATGCCCGGCATCCACCTGAGCCCCGAGCAGCAGCAGCAGCAGCTGCACAGCCTCCGGGAGCAGGTCAGGACCAAGAACGAGCTGCTGCAGAAGTACAAGAGCCTCTGCATGTTCGAGATCCCCAAGGAGTAGTGGGAGGCCGGCTTCCAGGACCTCCATGCTCCCTGGGAGTGTGACTCCTCCAGGGGCTCTGAACCGCGAGCCCGCGGGGCTATTGTCCTGCTCTGCAGGCTGAGCCTGGCCTCTTCCGTGCAGGGCTCCCTACTATGCATCGTGTGCCTTTGCACCTGTGGGGGGCAGCAAGAATCCTGGGAGGGTGGAGGACTCTCCTGCCTCCAGGGAGGGGCCGGCAGCTGCCATTGCCCCCATGGATCTGAAGGCTGGGGTAGGGAAGGAGACAGCTCGTCCGCCTCCTCCCGCCTCCACCCTGTCCGATCAGCGCGTGCCAGGTACATACTGTGCCCGGCAGCAGCCGTTTCATGGCACATCTGCATAGAACCCATTGGCCAGATGAGGCTGCATTCACGGCACGGTTTAATATGGTAAAAGAAGGCGGGTACAGAATGGAGTCACTTCGAAAGGCCAGAGGGGGCTTCCCTGCCCCACCCCTGCCAAGCTGATTCCTTTTCTGTTTGAGCCAGTGAGGGAGCTGTGACCGTGGGGGGTGTCAGAGTGTCAGCTGGGGCCCTACAGGCAGCCCTGTCCCCAGAGTCTGTGCCTCCTGTGGTTCTTGTTTAAGTCCTGCCCCCTTTTTCTCCTGTCACCTTGGGTTAGTGCCGAGAATGGCCAGACGGCTCTGGTCACTGTGCTTCCCGGGTTGAGAGGCTCGAGGTACGTCCTCTCTACTGGGGCTCAGGTAGGTCTCCAGACGGCAGCTCTTCCCTCTTCTGGCATCTCGGACTCGCATTGCCCCTCCGGCCTACTCGCTGGAGAGCCAGCTGGTCTTCTCCACTGCAGACGGGCTGTCAGTGCCTTTGTTTAAAGAGGCAGCTCTCAGAGGCTGGGCAGTCCCCGAGCCAGGTCCCTGAGCCAGGCGCGATCTCGTGGTCCTGAAGGGATAGGGCCTGGCCTGGGACGGCACGGCTCAGTTCTGGTTCTCAAATATTTACTAACAGCCCTCGTTTTCCCCAGCTGCACAGCGTCTTGCAGATGGGACATTGTGTGCTGTCCCCTTGACTGTCACAATGAGGTAAGAGCAGTCCTCGCCCTGGCCTCCCAGGGTGAGGTGAGAAGTAACCGGATATTGTTTGGCTCCAGAAATGGGCACGTTACCTGTGCTGACCAGCACAGGGGCTTAGCAGGTCCTGCCGCCTGACCTGACCTCGTTGGCAGGAGCATTGGTTAGGTGTTTCCAGCCGTCAGCCCAGTGGTGGCTGTTGTAGCCACCTGTCCAAAGGTGGCTGACACCACAGACCTGGGGACGCATGAAGGAGGAGGCCAGGCTTTGGAGGCAGTGGGCAGGAAAGCAGGCCCTGAATTGAAGTGGCAGTCACCTTCCAGACCAGTGCTACCTCAGGACTGTCCGGGCTGGGTTTAAGGGTCTGACGGAGCACCTGAAACGTCAGGCACAAAAAGACCATGGGGTCAGCTGCGATGAGCGGGCTTCCTCCTGGGGCAGAGGGTGACAAGCCCTCCCCAGGTCCCCGCGTTTGGACTTGTCACGTGTGTCTAATGTACAATTAAAAGGCCTTACGCTCTGCTGTCAGAATGTCCTGCTGTCTGTACTAACAGGTTCGTGGCGGCGTCTCTGGGTATGTGATGGGAGAACGCTGCTCTGTCTGCTCAGACACAGCGAAATCGGAAGAACCTCTGCTCCATGCCTCCTTCCCCCAGCACAGGAGGGGACTTCACATAGTTCATGGAGAAAAGATGACAGTATGAGTTTATTTTGGTGCCAAAAGCTTTGAAATCTGCGTGTAGTTTTTCATAACATGCATTTGCCACGCACTGCAAGCCCGCTGGCTGCCGGCTACCCCAGCGTGGAAATAGAACCTCTCGGAGAAGCAGCCCCTTCCCCGAGCCCACAGCCTGGCTGCTCGGCCACCCTGGCCTGCAGCGATCAGCCCCGGAGCCCAGGAGCTCAGGTTGGGACGGTCCTCCCAGAGCAGGGCTGCAGCCCCTCCCAGGGCCAAGCCCCTCTGCAGGCCGCCAGCCGTTGGACCTCTGGTTGGCAGGCACTCCCGCCGAGTACTTTTCAGACATCACACGAGTCCCCATAGCAACCCAGGCACAAGTGGTTCTTTGTATTTCTCCGGTGATGAATTCGAGGTTTGGCGGATGTCTGTTGCTTGCCTGAGTTTGCAGTTACAAGTGACAGAGGGCTGGGTGCCCTTGACCCCTGAGCAAAGCCAAAGAAGCACCGGGGCAAGTGGGGCCTCCTGAGCCTTAAGGGCAGGTGAAGTGGGGATCTAACTCTTAAGATAGCAGGTGGAGCCAGCCCCACAACCCTGGAGCTGGGGGGCAGGGGTCCCCATGAGTCTCCCAGGCCACTTTTGCTTAAGTGTACCGGCCTGTGTGACCTAGGCTTGCACAGAGGCCGGGGACACATGGCTCGGTGTAGTTCCAGGGGCCCGTGAGCCAAAGGGTGTTCTTGGACAGCGAGGCCTTGTGACTGGGCCCAAAGCAAATGAGGTGGAGGCTAGAAAGTGCACCCGTGGGGGACCCGGGAATCCTTTATGTTCTGGTTCTCCTTGGAGGAGTCCCCAGGTAGAAGGGCTGAGTCTGGGAGGCTCAGTCTTTTGGAGCCTTTTGGGGGGCCGTTTCTTGCAAGACGGCTGAATCTGTTTGCAGAAGGCTGAGGTGGCTTTCCAGTTCTGGGGAAGCAGAGTTCCCACCCCACAGACCCTGGGGCCCAGCCTCCTCCCTCTGCCCACCCCTGCCCCTGCCAGCATTTCTGAAATCAAGAAAAGCCGTGTTCCATCTGAAGTTATTTTATTTCATATTAAAAAAACAACTACAAAAACTTTAAAGACCTCTCACACAGTCTGAACACCTGGGTAAGAGCTTTTGTTCATGTCGACACCAGAACTGCTATTAAAGTGCAAGTTTTGTGTTTTGTTTTTCTTTTGTGCAACTTCACACGCGCGCACACACATGTAAACAGGTCACTTGACTATAATTTGACCTACACCCTCTTAGTTTCTGGAGGGCGGAGGTGTTAACTGTCACCACCACCCAGAACCCCAGACAGGATAATGCCCGTTGTTCCGACCCACAGCGGGTCAGGACGGTTTTCCGAAGCCCAACGCCATGCTGAGCGTAGGCGCCCCTCCCCACTCCCGGGAGAGTCCAGACAGGCGCACGCTCCGCAGGGCCCTTGCCCCCCAGTCGTGGGGCGCCAGGCAGAGGGACCCAGGACGGGGAGGGGAGTTCAGTCTTGGCCAGTTCTCTTTCCTTCCAGAGCAGATGACTGTCCCTTCTCGGCTCGACGGCGCCTCCCCAGTGCGGGGCCCGCTCGCGGGGAGGGAAGACGCCAGTCCGCGCGGGCTCGCGGCCGGAGGCTCACGGGGCTGGTCGGGGCCTCGGATTTGACTTTTAAACAAAAAGGTCCTCCTTAGGTCGTGTCGCCGGTGGGCGGGGGCTCCTAGCTGATGACGCAGCGCTCCTTGTCCTTGGCCTGGCCGCCCGCGCTGGCCTTCTCGCGGATGTACATGAGATCGCTGTGCACGCTGGGCCTGCGCGCGAAGGGCGCCACGATGCCGAAGGCGTCGCCCGCGTCGCCGCCGCCCGCGCGCAGCAGTCTCCGGCTGCGCAGCGCCTTCTTGTGCAGCGCGTCGCAGTACTGCACCGACACCTTGCGGTGCAGGTCCGGGCTCATCTCGCTCGGCAGCTTGGCCATGGCGAAGAGCGCGCGGAACATCTGGTCCAGGCTGCTGTTCTTCTTGGCCGAGATCTCGAAGTAGGCGCAGCGCTGGGGGTCGTCGCCCACCAGCTGCTCGATCTCGCGCTGCTCCACCTCGCGGTAGAAGTCGCGGTCACCCTTGTTGCCACAGATGACCAAGGGTACGTCCACGTTCTCCTTGGTTTTGTTCTTGAGACAAGACTTGGTGTCGAGGATCTGCTGCTTGAGCCGCTGCACCTCCTCAAAGGAGTCGCGGTTGTCCAGGCTGAACACCAGGATGAAAACGTCTCCTGCGGGGGCACAGAGGGCGCGGAAGGGGAAGGTGAGGGCGGCTGCCGAGGGGACAAACTGGGCCGACCCGGGGCCCCAGGCGCTGCAGCCGCGCGGGCGCGCTGGCCTCTCCAAGAACCAAGCGCAAAACTCGGCGCGCGATGGCGGGACCCGCCCTTGCCCCGCGCCCCTGGGCTAGGGGTCCCTGCTCTGCCCTTCCCGCAGGCTCCTGGCCCGCCCCGGCTCACCTGTAAGGATGGAGAGGCGCCGCATGGCGGGGAACGGGTGGTTGCCGGACGTGTCGAGGATGTCGAGCTGGTAGACCTCGCCGCGGATGGAGTAGAACTTGCGGTGGAAGTCCTCGATGGTGGGCGTGTAGGCGTCCTCGAAGCGGCCGGTGAGGAAGCGCGACACGATGGCCGTCTTGCCCACCCTGGAGGAGCCCAGGATGACCATGCGGTAGCAGTTTTTGGCGGGGATACTCAACTCCGAGTCGCTCGGGCACATCTTCTTGATCATCGCGGCCAGTTTCATTGGGCGCAGGGGCCGCGGGGCAGACGCTGGAGCGAGAGAAGCGCGGAGGACGGC